TCCAGCCCTGCACCTTGTTCTCTCTTCTTCAATAGATAGTTTCTTTTCAATAAAGCTCAAACTGAATATTTAGCTATTACTCAAGCATTTAACAATGACATTTGTGGTTTCATCTATCACAGGAAATTGTATCCTGGCTTGGAAGATGAATTAATATTAATGATCCAGAAGACCTTTAATTTTGGGCAGAAACAATCAGATCATTTGTTTAAAATTCTTATGGAATGCATGGAGCACAGAGAATCAGTGAGTATATTCAAGTTAGCAATGAAAATATAGAACGTATTTTCAAAGCTTCTTTAGAAATTCTTTAATGTTTGCATCACATATAGACAGGATAGTTAAAAAGGCGTTTGGCATGCTTGCCTTCATTGCTCAGTCCTTTGAGTATAGGAGTTGGGGCGTTATTTTGAGGTTGCACGGGACATTGGTGAGGTCTCTTCTGGAATACTGTGTCCAGTTTTGGTCGCCCAGTTGTAGGAAGGATATTGTCAAGCTGGAGAGGGTTCAGAAGAGATTTACCAGGATATTGCTGGGTATTGAAAGTTTGAGTTATAAGGAAAGGCTGGATAGGCTGGGACCTTCTTTCACTGGCGTGTAGGAGGTTGAGAGGTGACCTGATAGAAGTCTGTAAAATAATGAGAGGCAGAGATACATTTGATGGTTGTTGTCTTTTCCCTAGGTTGGGGAATCTCAAGACTAGGGAGCACATTTTTAAGGTGAGAGGAGAGACATATAAAAAAGACATAAGAGGCAAAATGTTTATACAGAGGATGGTTTGTGTGTGGAATGAACTTCCTGAAGTGGTGAATGTGGGTACAATTACAATGTTTAAAAGACATTTGGATGGATATATGAATAGGAAAGGTTTGGAGGGATATGAGCCAGGAACAAGCAGCTGGGACTAGATTAATTTGGGATTATGTTTGGCATGGACTGGTTGGACTGAAGGGTCTGTTTCCGTGCTGTATGACTCTATAAATGATTAGTGCAGGTTCTTCAATATGGTGGCAGTTTTTTTTTGATACTTGCAGTTAATTTTATTAAAGTAATCCTTTAATTTATATGTTTTTGGGTGTGTGTAGAGAAATGTTACAATATAAACAGTGAAATTTTCCAATGCCATTGATATTGGGCTTTTTTACCTGAATCATGAGGGAAGGAGAGACTTTATGATGTCTCAGATAACTGATGCAGTGGAACCTGTTCTGTTCCACCCGGTAAATTTTCATAAATCTGGGAATGGAGAGCAAGTATTTTTACACATGTGCAAACTTGTCTAGTTGTAGTTGGTGGTTTGTGTTGTGGTCATAGCCATCAGAGCCATTTGAGATGTCTTCAATAGATTCACTACAATCATCTTATTGGTTTTGGTCTTCAGTTACTGATACTACATGTGGAAAGATATCCACATAAATCTTTGGGGGAAGAGCAGTTTGGTCCTTTTGGACAGAATAGGTTTATTGCATTGTACATTATATCTGAGCTGCATGGGATCCTTCTGTGAGACTTTAAACTCAACTTAAAGGTAAGATTACTGCTAGCTGTTTAAGAAATTTAAGAACTAACGAATAGTTAGCTCCATCCTGGAGCAGTCCTTTATAACCTGATGGATGGAGTTTACTGCATGATGTCAGTTAACCCTTTCAGGTACTAATTGCCTTATATCATAATCATTTGAAAGAATGAACATATACTCACGGGAATGGCTGTAGGAGATATGATAATTCCTGTGGATGACAAAACTACATCAATGGCCTGTGCAGACAGAATGAGCATTTGATTTGCTTTAATCAGGATAGGAATCCTGCCTGTATTCTTGGAAGCATTGTCTACATCTGCCTCAGTTCAGTGTGAAATCCTCTTGTTCTTACAACGTATAGTTCTCTGACATACCTCATGACTACGTCAGATTTTATGTTACATTGACAGACTTTAAAATGAAATGAAATTCAAACAAAACCATAAGAATTCATGGTTTAAGCAAATGCTAGAAATTAAGTGATTAACTTATTTTTGTAATTCAGTATTAAATACAGGAAAGGAGACATATTAGTGCAACCAATCATCACATGGCTGTCTTTGTCCCATACTCATTAATATATTTGATTAAAAAACACCTAGAAATTTAGGTTTAAAATTACTGATTGTTCTAGTATCAGTTGCTGCTTGTGGAATAGAAGGTAAACATCTACCACTCTATATGAAGAAATGGGCTGAACTTTACAGTTTTCTGTCATGCATATTTTCCTGGAGGAGGCACGTAAAATATGTCAGGTATCCAGTCCACCTCCTACATGCCCACCTTGACCTGTTCCCTAATAGCAGGGACAGTTAAAGTCTTGCTACACCAAACACCCTAGTGAGGACCTTAACTTCCTAGTCAATTATCAGCTAAGGGCCTAACTATCACTGCCATAAAACACTTGACAGGAAGGTGTTTGTGGTGCAGTGGTGGTGTCTCTACGTCTGAACCAGGAGGCCTGGATTCAAGTCCTACGTGCCCCAGAGATGTGTAATAACATCTCTGACAAGGCTGCTTTAAAGATAAACTAAAACACTTGGCAGGAGGGTGCCTGTGCTGCAGTGACTGTCCCTACCTCTAAGCCAGAAGACCCAGGCTGAATTCACATCTGTTCCAGAGGTGTTTGATAATATCCCTGAAAAGATTTGATAAGAAAATATTCAAAATGTTGGACAGTAGCCAGCATCTCAGACTGCAAAGGCTTTGTTTAAAACTGCTTCTTTGAAAAGGCTGAAAGGATGGAAGGGCACTTTAATCAGAGGGTGCCTTGTACATATCAAGTGCAACTCTCCACGAGGTCATACAGTCCCACTTGTCCTCTCCATCTAGCCTCCAGAACTCACTCACCCCTGTGTAAGGGCTCTTTGACCCTGGAGTCACCCTGTGATGATATCATGGAGCAGATCCTCACTGGCATAAATAGTACAGCGTGGGCAGAGTTAAGAAGAAGAAGGAGACATGGAGAGCTAGGCAGTAGCCTGCAGCCTACCGTATCAATGTTCAAAACGCGTGAGGAGAAGCATTTGGAGTAGACCAACTAGCATTAGGCAACAGCTTTTATATCCCCGCTCCCCCCCCACCCCATTTCTGATGAAGGGTCTAGGCCCGAAACATCAGCCTTCCTGCTGCAATGATGCTGTTTGGCCTGCTGTGTTCATCCAGCTCTGCACCTTGTTGTCTCAACTTTTATGGAATCATGTTTCAATAATGTAACAGCAAGATTACAGCCTGTTATATCTCTTAGTATCTTGCATTGTAGTATTTGATTCTTACTGCATTACAATTAGTGTTATATGAAACCCAAGCTTGAACACAATTCTTGACCGTACCTTCCCTTTCAAGCAATCTGTCTTTAACTCAAATTCATGGATTTGAGCATAAAATCCCACAACAATAAACTCCCCTTCCCCCTTCCCATTGCACCCCAATCCCCTTCCTTAGAAAAGCCCGGGACTTCTCATTCTTGTAACCATTGTCCTTCTTTGTGTAGAAGACCTGGCTGCATCCATTGGGCGTTCTAGTGCTGTTGGGACTACTAAAGCTGGCAAACAGGCTACTATTGCTGCAGGACAGGCCTTTTAAAAGTTTGCCCACTTTTGAGCAAGTGCTTTTCTGTGGGATTAATTGGGAAATGGGAATGTGAAAAATATCCCAGTTAAATCCAGCCAGTGTTACCTAGAGTAGAATTTTACACCAATCCATACAGGAGATGGCTGGAGATAATGAGGTTTCTAAAATTGGATGGCAAGCTGGGGATACCATTTGAACAGCCCTTCTGGGAATTTCTCAGCAGCAATGAATGGGGTGGTGGGGGTGGGGGTGTGATGGTTTCGGGGGAAAGGAAACCATGGGGGTCCCTGCCTGCCCTTGGGTCAGTTGAGGTAACATAGGTGGCCACATTATAGCATGTTAAGGGCCTTCTGTCATCCCTGCTGGTAATAAGGGGACCCACGCATTAGCAAAGCTGACAGACTTATCCTGAAGAGATAGTAAGAACTGCAGATGCTGGAGTCAGAAATAACACCATGTGGATCTGGAGGAACACAGCAGGTCAGGCAGCATCAAAGGAACAGGAAAGCTGACATTTTGGTTCAGGACCCTTCTTCAGAAAATGACTTGTCCTGAAGACCTTGTTAGGGGCTGAGGAAGCCCTTTCTAATTGGGTGATATGCCCTCAATGGAAGCACACCCTGTGACACTGCCCATCTCCATATGTCTCATTCCCACCCTTCAGATCCCAGTCCCCACATACAATCAGCAATCTCCAGAAGGATGTGCCTTTGAGAATTGGTTGAAATCCCAGCAGTGTCCATGGTTCCCTGTGGAACAGCAGGCAGGAATTCCTCCTGGATGAAAGTGGAGGTCTTGCTCTGAAACAATTAACAGTCCAGTGCCTGTAAAATCAACTTGCAATTCCTGGCCATTTGGAGGTGGGCTTGCCCCTGACTTTTAATTGGCCTTAATTTCACTCCTGGATTCCTCAACCAACGGAAAACAAAGGTCTCCCCTGTTGAATCTGCTTGGTTACCTGGAACTTATCCAAGTGTTCTGTTATAACTTCTTCAAAATAACTTCCAACAGATTTTCTTTAACAGATATGAAGCTAATTGGCCTAAAGTTTCTTGCTTTCTGTCTCCCTTCCTCTCTGAATAAAGGGGCTGCATTATCTATCTTTCAATCTGATGGGACTGAAGCAAAGGAGCTTTCGAAATTCAAACCAATGCATCATTTATCTTGTGAGCTGAGGGCTGGATAACCTACCCTCATTCCTCTGAGTCAATAAAGCTGGAAATTTCAGCTATGCTGGAAGACCATCTGATTGGTAAAGCCATATTAGAAAATGAAGCCTCAGAAGAAGGAAGGAAGAAAATTGGTAATGAAAGGAGAGATAAGAAATAGTGGGAAATCAAAATAGCTACAAAATAAGAAAGAAAATAAAGATTCAGATAAAACTTCTGTTAAGTTGTGCATGAATGTACGTGAAAGGATAACAATTCCATTTTCTCTTGTGAAAACAGATTACAATTTTTGATGCAGACTCCGAAGAACAACAGGACATCGACTTGGCAATATTAACTGCTCTCCTTAGAGGTAGTCTGTTCCATATAAATTCACAAGGAGGGAGGGGGAAATCATGTCAGGGTCTGAATGACATGGACCATGGTGAGATTTAGGGCAGAGTCGTAAGAGAACTCCGGCAAGACCATCTTGACATTGGAAGCATCTAGCTCCATCTGTTATAGAGTGGTCAGGCGAGTTTCTTGCTAGGCAGTGGTGAGTTTCCAATTAAGTTGGGGGGGGAGGTAGTGGTGGTGATAGCTTGTTAAATACTTTATTAATGTCCCAAAACACTTCATTACTCTTCAGCTTCCTTTCTTACCAAAAATGCAAGTCAGGCTAGATGTCGATAAATCTTGACATGTAAATCAGAGCGGGTACCTGGTGATTTCGGCTTCCCACTTGCACCCAAAGACCTCCATGCTGGCCACAGGGTGCCAACATCTCAGGGCGCACTCAATGGGTACAGGTCCCATATAACCCACATCCACAGACGTTGTCACCTGATAGATTCCATCCCCTAGGAACCCTCATGGCACATCTCCAATCCATTTATAGGACATTTTGGGCACTTCAGTGCTGCACCTCGGGCTGCAGCAAGAGCTATCATTGTAATGCTGCAGCAAAGACACTGTAGGCTCAGGGCCATGCACCCAGGTCATGGATTGAAGCGGGCTGCATCTTGAGGCTGTTCACTCTGAGTAACAGAGCTCAATCACTCTGATCCTACCTGGATGCTCACAGCATCCCTGCCTTGCATCGCCTTTCCTTGCTTTTTTTGTGTTTGCTCCTTCAGCCAGAGATACCAGGCTCAAATTGCTGCTGTTTTGCCTTGTTATTTAGCTCAGAAACAGAGGCAGGAAGCTTATCATGTTGTCAGCAAGCATAAGTCACATCAAGGGGATAGACCTTCACCCAGGTGGTGTCCTGGCACACTTAGTCAAGGACAGCCTTTGATACCAGTCCAGAGACTCAGAAATGCTCGCGCAGTCAGACTCGGAATTCTGTTCACAGTAGGAGTGAGGAGCTGAATGTTGCGTGGCTGAATATCTGCCTTGACTCTTTCTGCCCAATTTAAGACTGGTTTCCGCCTGGAATGAGAGAGAGGCAGGTGATATGAAAGTGGGTGGCACAGTTGTTTCTTTAGGGGCATGTGAGAAGGCATCCTGAGTGAGTGAGTAGGCAGCACTAGGGGAAGGAAGAGCTCATGGTGTTGGGTGTTGAGGTGGGTGAGAATGAGTGACAGAAGGGTTACAGGCAATAGTGAGAGCATGAACTTTGGGAGGTGGGCACAATAGATAGAGTGAATGTGAGGTATCAGAAAGAAGATGGTGGCACTTATGCTGACAGAGTGGAGAAGGTCATTGACCTTCTTCCCACAATGCTGAGTTTTCCTCCAGATGGCTGAGACTGCACTAACAAGGGTGGCAACTACTGAGCAGGCTGGCATGGTCTAGTTTCATGACCCTCCTCTGCTGTTCACAGGAGAGGTGCAAATCCTTTGTCTGCATCATGCCATCCAGCAGGAGCTCCAGGCCTATGTCCTCAAGGTGTGGCACCGATTTCTCCTGTCATCCATATTCAGGATAAATATTAGGAACTGTGCAGGGCATCTCTGGACTGACCAAGCTTGTCTGGGTGCTCAATGGTCTTTTCAAGGTGACACAGGAGCTATATGATGCCAGTCTTTTGGCAGATATCAGGAGAGTGGTGAGTTGTTCTGGGAACTGCATGTGGGAAGATGGGATAGAGCTGGACAAGAGAGACACTTTAGTAGGCACTTAAAGAGACTGGTTTGATGCGATATGGTGAGAAATCTCGCCAGGCCTCGTGGTGAGAATCCCTCCAGGAAGCTTGATGCAACTTGTACTTAGCTTTCTTCACATGTCATTCTTTTTGTTTCTAAAGGTACCAATACTTCTGCATCAGATCAGCTAAGTTTGGCTTTGGCATGGGACAGAGTGGACATTGCAAAGAAAAACATTTTGGTTTATGGACAACATTGGAAGGTATTCAATATTTTAATAATGTAATCAGTTTTGAGGTCCCCACTAACATGGATGTCAGTCTTCAGCCAATTCACTTCACTCTACATTATATCAAGAGCCAGGTGAAGGCACTGGATAATGTAAAATGCCACACATTTTGGCAACATTCTGGAATAGTACAGAAAACTTGTGCTCCAGAACCAACAGTACCCCCCTCAAAGTTGTTCCACTATCACACACCTGGCAATTTGGAAAATTATCCAAGTATGTCCTGTACACAAAATGCAGGATAGAGACAACCCAGCCATATCAGTCTACTCTTGATCATCAGAAAAGTGATGGAAGGGGTCATCATCAGTATTATCAAGTGGTACTGACTCAACAACAGCCTAATCATTGATACTCAGTTTCGGTTCTACCAGGATCACTGAGCTTCTGGCCTTAATACAGTCTTGGGCCAAACATGGACAAAACAGCTGACCCCCAAGAGGTGAGCTGAGATTGATTGCACTTCAAATCAAGGCAGCATTTAACTGAATGTGGTATCAAGGAGCTTTAGCAAAACTGGAGTCAGTGGAAATGGGGGAAAACTCTTCAGTTGTTGGAAGATGGTTGTGGTTTTGGGGGTCAGTCATCTCAGTCATACGACATTGCTGCAGGAGTTTAATTAAATCATTAATAATTATCAGGAAACTGCTGGATTATCATAAAAAATCTACCTGGTTCACTAACGCCCTTTAAGGGAGGAAATCTGCCATTCGTACCCTCTCTGAGCAACATGTGACTTCGAGCCCATAGACATATAGTTGATTCATTGCGTTCTGAAATTGCCTAGCAAGCCAATGAGTTCTATCAAACCTGCACAGGATAAAGCACTGTAAATGTACCTGCAATTTGGGGAAGCAATGGCCTAGCAAGCCAATGAGTTCTATCAAACCTGCACAGGATAAAGCACTGTAAATGTACCTGCAATTTGGGGAAGCAATGGCCTAGTAGTATTGTTGCCAAAGCTAGTAATCCAGAGACACATATAATGTTCTGTAGACCCGGCTTTGAATCCCATCATGGGAGTTAATTATTTGAACTAATTCTGCAGAAATTCCTTAGCTTAGTGTCCTAGGCCAAACCATCTTCAGTTTCTTCATCAATGGTCGTCGCCCCCCATCATAAGGTCAGAATTATTGATGTTTGTTGATGATTGCAAATGTTCAGTACCATTCATGACCCCTCAGATACTAAAGCAGTCCATGCTCATATGCAGCAAGACCTGGACAACATTCAGCCTTGGGCTGATAACTGGCAAGTAACACTTGCACCACACAAGTGCTATTTCTGACAAGTGAGAATCCAGACTTTGTCTCTTGACATTCAATGTCATTATCACTGCTGTATTTGCCCACTATATAACATCCTGAGGGTTACTATTGACCAGAAACTGAACTGGGTTAGCCATATAATTACAGAAGCTACAAGAGCAGGTCAGAAGCTGGGAATTCTGTGGTGAGTAACTTACTTCCTGAATCCTCAAAGTCTGTCCACCATCTACAAGGCACAAGTCAAGACTATGATGGAATAGTCCCCACTTGCCTGGATGATGTAGCTCTAACAACACGCAAGAAGGTTGACTCCCTCCAGGTCAAAGCAGTCTGCATGATTGACACCCTGACAACACTTTCAATATTCACTACCTTCACCATCAACATACAATGGCGACATTGTGCAGCAACTCAGCAAGGTTCCTTACTCAACAGCTTCCAATCCCCTGACCTCTACCATCCAGAAGAATAAGGGCAGTGATATATTGGAAGACCACCACTTGTACATTCCTGTCCAAACTACACATCTTTCCAACGTGCAACTATATTGCCATTCCTTTACTGTCACTGGATCAATATCATTGCACTCCTTACCAGCAATATGGATGTACCTGCATAGCATGGACTGCAGTGGTTCAAGAAGGCAGTTCACAATCACTTTCTCAAGGACAGTTAGACATGGGTTGCAAATGCTTGTCTAGTCAGTGCCACCCATTACCTATGCAGACAGCTGGCATGTCGTTCAGGACAATGCCAGCCACCTAAGGCTCCAATCTCTATTGCGCCTGAAGAAGACTTGGTATGGGATCATCATGTGGCGCAGTGGGTCCATGAGATCTGAGTTTGAGTCCTGCTGTGGGACTTGATGGCCAGGGGACAAGCGGATTGACTGTCATCCTGCAAATCATTCCAAAATGCCCATGACATTCAATAAGAATGGAATGTCTCCTGGTCAGGCAGGACTGTGTGACAGTCACACTAAATAATCCACTTGCATGTTCCTGTCATGGATTGAACTCTGTGCCAAACATATACTTTGCTTTCAGTGATTTCCAGAAGAAAAATTGGTGCCTTGCTCCTTGCCCTACAATGTAGTGAGTCACTGCAGAGCATGTGGTTTGCAAACTCTTGAATAATTGAGAGTGCTGCCTGGAGAAGAAAACATGGTTTTATATTCGACAATTTAGTTCACAATCCATCTGCACTCTGAAATTTGGCCTCTTGTCATAATGCTTGCAGATGCCTCAGGAAAATTGCAGATTCGGTTGGATAAGTAACTGCAGGTGAAATATTTGCTGAGCTAAGGGCCAAAGAATCATTGGGAATAATTGGATAGATTTTTCAAAGCAGGCAGTCATGATGAGCTGAATGGCTTTTTGGTGTGCTGTAAAATTCTTGAAATCTTCAAACGTATCCACGATTAAAATTCTTAAGCCTCATTATTTTCCATGACTTTATGATAATCTGGACACTGAGTTACAGTTGGCTGCAGTGTTACAGGTGCCACCACTCAAATGTTTAAACCAAGACCTTGTCTGCCCCTTCAGTTAGACATTTAAGATTGTAAGCACTTTGAAAAGAAATAGAGTTGTTCTGGAGACCTTCTTCCTATGTCCATGTTATCAATAGCAGATCAATCAGCGACTCACCTTATAATAGGACTGTGTGTGTAAATAGTATTACATTCTTCTACCTAAAAGCAGTAATTGTAATTCAGCAGTAGTTCATTATCTATGAAATGTTTCTAGAATGTCTTAAGAAATGTTATACAATACTTATAGATATATGATATCAGAAAGTATGTGCAACATTCAATACCGAACTAAGAAAGATAAGAATATGAGTAGGCCATTCGGCCTGTTGATCCTGCTTCACCATTTAACACAATCATGGCTGAACCAACCATTCAATGCCTTTTACAAATACTATCCCCATAACCCTTTACCCTCATTGATAATCAAAAAATTTTACAAAGTATACTTGAAGAATTTGGGGCATTACGGTGGCTCAGTGGTTAACACTGCTGCCTCACAGCACCAAGGACCCGGGTTCGATTCCAGCCTTGGGCGACTGCCTGTGGCTGAGTGGGTTTCCTCCGGGTGCTCCGGTTTCCTCCCACAGTCCAAAGATATGCAGGCTAGGTGGATTGGCCATGCTAAAATGTCTATAGTGTCCAGGGATGTGTAGGTTAGGTGGATTCGCAATGGGAAATGTGGGGATACAGAGATGGGGCGTGTGGGGGGGAGTCTGAGTAGGATGCTCTTCGGAAAGTTGGTTTGGACTTGCTGGACTAAATGGCCTGTTTCCACACTGTAGGGATTCTATGATCTATGGTCATGATCATAATCATGATTCTATGACTGAGCTTCCTGAGCTATCTCAGGTGGAGATACTTGAGGTACTTGTTATAAATATTGCTTGACAGTGACTTGAAGGAAAAGTCTGCAAGAACACCACTCGTGTAGCATTCCTCTTCAAATTAGCACACCTGCGAATTCTCAAATTACTCATTTTCTGTACAAAACACTCACTGGTAAGAAAATGTCTTGATTCTACAGTTCCCTGAGTACAGCCTGTACTATGCTAATTGCCCAACTCCCAATCTTTGCGGAAGTCTACAACATTGAGACTAAAACCATACCATGGATCAGTGGTTCAGTTGTCTCCAAGGTCATACTTACATAATGAGTACAGTCTAGGATAAACCTGAACAGTCAGTGTGTGCACTTAGTAACATTTTCTTTCAAAGGAAAATCTTTTGTAGCATTCATTGTTTTCTGCACAGAAAAACCGATTACTTTTAGCTCTGATGTGACAAACCTCTCTGAGGATTCCGTAAACCTTAATCGGTGATTCCAGCCAAACTATATGAAGTTCTGAGGAAGGGTCACCTGACCCGAAATGTTAATTCTGATTTTTTTTTCTTCATAGCTGCTGCCAGACATGCTTAGCTTTTCCAGCAACTTCTGCTTTTGTTCCTGATTTACAGCATCTGCATTTCTTTTGGTTTTTATTAAGCTATATGAACTATTTTTCTTGTCACATGAGAGGAACCATTAACTACATAACAGATTAACCTTTATTCCACAATTTATACTGTAAAATTAAAAGGACTTACAACTTTAGGGATCCTGAAATTACAGAGTTTGAATATGTTTGACCCATTTTCTCCTCCTGTACAGAAAGTGCTTATTCTGAATGGACAGATTTCTACAAGTGCCAAAATACCTCCTTCACATATATCTATTTGTCTAATAGTAATGCACTATGGAGCAGAGTATGACTCTAACCAGCTTAAATGCCTCAGACCCTTATCCAAGTTGAGAGCAAAGGCATTTACGTGGAGGGAGGTTGGCTATGATGCCTGCACAGAGATTTCATGTGCTTTTCAGGGTTCCACAAAAATTCTGTGGGCTGTGACCAGTTGCCTCCTGACCCTTCTCTCATCCTCAGCCCTACCTGCTTGCAGACTTACTTGACCTCCTGGCCGGTCCCGAGTCTGTGAGCTTCTCAAGAAACAAAGATTGCAGAGGGCATTTCAATGAGGCCTGACCTTGAAAATGGCTTAGGCATCTTGCTGCAGGAACAGGTAAGTATTCTATGCAGTATCCCCACCCTTTTCCACGCTGGGCCGTGTGTTGCAGATTGTGTTTGGGAACAATTCCGCTGCCCTGCTGGCCTACAGCACCTCATGGATGTCCAGTCTTGAGTTGCTGGATCCGTTTGAAATCTATCGCATTCAACACGGTCGTAGTACCACACAATGCAGTAGAGGGTATCCTCAATGTGCGAGTCTAAGAGACGTGTGCGGGGTGGGAATTGGGTTGGGGTGCGAATGGTCAGTTGTAATCAGCAGAGAGTTTCCTTACCAATGTTTAACCTGAAGCCATGAGATTTCATTGGGTCTGGAGTCAATGTTAAAGACTTCCTGGGCAGCTGCCTCGTGATTATACACCACTGTGCCACCACCTTTGCTGGATCTGTCCTTCAGCTGGGACAGGGCATACTCAAAGTTGGTGATGGTGGTATCTGAGATTCAGTTTGTAAGGGATAATTCAGGAAGTGTGACTATATCAGGCAGTTGCTTGACTAGTCTGTGAGATAGCTGTCCTAATTTTGGTACTAGCCCCTGGCTTTGCAGGATCAAAATTGCTGAGCTTGCTGTTGTTTCTGACAACAAGGTAGATGCCAAATGTCCATTTTTATTCCTTTCAGCGTTTTTACGTAGCTTAATCCAACTGAATGGCTTGCTAGGCCATTGCAGAAGGTAGTTAAGAGTCAGTCACATTTTTGCAGATCTGGAGTTACATATAGGTTAGACCAGGTGAGGATGAAGATTTACCTCATTGAAGGAAGTATAGCATGTTAGTTAATCAGATAGGGTTTTTTTTTTAAATGACAATCAACATGGTTTTATGGTCATCATTAATGTCTTAATTCCAGCATCTGCCTTGGAGAAATTTGAACCCAGGCCACCAGAATATTAGATAGGTCTATGGATTATTAGGCTAGTCACAATATTCCTCCAACAAAGCATATTTTTTATGTATTTGTATTTGAGCCATGTGGTAGGTTTAAGTGCAGTTCATTAGCATTAATATTGAGAGATTCAACTCTGACAATATGTTTTATTCGATCATACTGTAGGTGGGATCCTTGGAACAGGCCATGCTTGATGCTCTGGTCATGGATCGTGTGGATTTTGTGAAACTGCTGATTGAGAATGGTGTGAGCATGCATCGCTTTCTCACCATCTCCAGACTTGAGGAGCTCTACAATACGGTCTGCACATCATTTAGATACTTTTAATCCATGCTTACATGTTATCAATAAGATTGATTTGTACAGCAGCGCTACATCACAATGTTGATAGAGATACGTGAGGCTGCTATACACACGTGGCTGGCCCAGGTAGATGCTTTGCATGTAGATTGCACAAGACAATTCTCAAGTCTTGAAATAAGAATTGATTTTTGAAAAACTATCCAATACAGTCATTCTCACGATCTCAACTTCTCCGAGCTAAAGCTATTGGGGTTAATAAATTTGTGAAAAAAATATTTTTCAATGCTTCTTCACCTCTGATTTTTTATCTCTTTTCTTCTCTCTAGTTATGCATTTCTCATTTTTACCCCCTCGCATTCCTGTTTCTCCTCAGGTTTTACTTTTCACCTCTCTCACTTTTGTCTCCCTCATACCCTTTATTTCGTTTCACTTTCCATTTTTACTTCACATTTTTCTCCTCTAAACCTTTCCCAAATTTTGCCTGATCAACAGCTTCCTTTTGTATTCCTCAGAGCAGAGGGAAGTTCTGAAAGCTGGATGGGTTCCTCAGTCAGCCAGAGAGCAGGACTTCAAAACAGAAATCACGAGAAACAGATAATTGGCAAACTTGACCTACAGTATGTCAGTCAGGCTTGGAAATGTGAAAGAAAAACATGAAATGCTCAGGCAACAACTATGCATAAAGAAACAAAAAAACCCACGTATCAGGCCAAGACTTTGCACCAATAGTGGCTGTGCCTGAAAGAGATGCTTTTCATTGCCTTACAGATACTGCTTGATCTGCAAAAGATTTTCAAATTCCCTGTTTTAGTTACAAACATGACTCATTTGACGCATGAATGTGCAATACATCCCCAAATATATATAACATTACCCAAAGGGATTTACTTGAATTACTTTCATAACACTCAATGTTTAAAAACTTATAATTGTCCTGATTTGAAAACAACAAATGCTGGAGATCACAGCGGGTCAGACAGATCCATGGAGAGAGAGCAAGCTTACATTTCCGGTCCTGATTTGTTTATTTATTGACATTTGTTTAATTTTGACCTCTGCTTTTGAATTAGTTTGCCCATTTTTCACCACAATCTCCCCTGAATTCTCAACCATTTGTAAAATGTCAGGATGCCTGCCCAACATCCAGTTCTTAATGAGCAGAAATTCCTCCAGTTAAATATCTGGAAGACCCTGTGACAAATTCTGTTCACTAGATACCGAGCCATCCATTTCTATGATGATTACCTGAGCTTGAACCAGATTGTCCATAAACTTGGGACAAAATCTTACAGGGATTTGAGGGATGTAGGCTATCATGAGATCTGTGGTACATTTTAAAGTTAGGAGCATCTCACTCCATCCTGTACATTTTTCACAAGCAGCATGGTGAGTTTTTCACTGGTCTGCAGTGAGCTGCCAAATAATGGTTGTTATTACTTTTTAAATGTCTTTTTGACAGCTGAACTCACCTCATCCGTATTCAGCTTCCTAGCTTGCCAAACTATCCAAACAAGCTGGATGTTAAGAAAACTTGACATGGAAGTCGGAGCTGGTACTGGCAAATTCAGTTCATTGCTTTCTCTGAATGACCTCCATGCCACAGATATTGGCATCGGATATGTGTTAGTTTCAAAGAAGCTTCATGGCATTTGTTATAAAGCGGAGGTTGACCTGCCTATTCGCACCCCCCCCCACCCCCGCACACAGAGAACTAAGACTGAAACACCAAAGAGGAGCACCTCGCCCTATAATCTGTAAAACGAGTGTGGAACGTGGTGTAACCGCTTTTCAGCAACTTCCAATGGTTAAATAAAGTAAATCCCTAACACTCACTTTAAAATTGACAAGTAACAATTTATTTATCGAACTCTAACAGTGAATAACTTAACTAAACTATTAACAAACAGAATAAATCCCTTTTATAAATTCCTGAAATAAAGCAAGATTCTAATGGTGTGCTGTTCCAATAAATTCACGTCCCATATATATAAAAAAATCATAGAATTCAGTCTCTTGAAATTATAGCTAGATTACGTGTCTTCCAGAATGTTGTGTTTCATCTCCATCAGTTTATCTGTCAGGAGTACCTTCTCTGTTGATTCTTCTGTGAGGAATATTAACTAGTTGTGCTATTGACATCGTTGTTATTTAGGTGGTGCTTTCTGTAAGACATACAGGAGGCTGTGAGAGCCAGCGATTCTCTCTTGAGACTGAGGGCTGTTAGCTCTTGTGGATGGCAGTTAGCTCTGGGGCCTGTGTCCAGCTTCTCCCTTCTTTTTATACCATGGATGACATATCAACATTTCTTACCATAGGATTGGTCCTATGTTGTCAAAACAATCAGACTTAAATTTAGAGATAGTAGGAACTGCAGATGCTGGAGAATCTGAGATAACAAGGTGTAGAGCTGGATGAACACAGCAGGCCAAGCAGCATCAGAGGAGCAGGAAGGCTGACGTTTCAGGCCTAGACCCTTCTTCAGAAAACTTAAATTTAATAGGTTTTTGGGATCTAAGTACCTGGTTCAAATTGTTTGGCTAAATTCAAATGCCTGTTGTCTTGGTAAAAAGCTGCTGCTTGGCCTGCTAACTGTTTGGCCTTTCGATACAAATGTTTCAATTGCTGGGTGCTGTCTGTGTACTTGTAGACTTTCAAGCTGCTGCTCACAGGCATCCATTTTAAATCACTAAGCACAGAAAAAGCACATGATCTTTTAAAGGAACCATGCAATGCTTTTCCCTCTAGCATTTTACAAACACTGAATTCTAACCTTCTGCCTCCCAATCCACAAGTACTCTACCCAATTTCGCAACAGCTTTGCTCTGATTCACTTTGAGGACACATTTGCACTTCAGTGCTACAACTCAGGCTGTACCAGCAACTATTATTGTTATGCTGCTGCTAGGACACTGCACATTCAGGGACATGCACTCGGCTCTTGGTCTGGAACAGGCTGCATCTTTGGACTTTGTGCTCAGTGCTATAGCATTCACACATTTTAAAAAGCATACCTGGAAACTGAGAACATCCTTGCCTTGAATTGATTTCCCTTAGCCTTTTGTGCTCCGTCAGTCAGGAAAACGAGGCTTATATTATAGCCTTGCCTGGAAAACCCGATAGCTTGTCATTGTTGTTAGTAGGCATCAGTTAGTCTAAGGGGGTCACCCAGTGGGTGCTGGTATAGTTTGCCAATGGCAGCCTCCACTATCAGTCCAGGAACTTGGAAACATCAGTCAGTTAACTACTTGGGGCAGTCAGATTCAGGATATTGTCCACACACATCCCATTCACAAGGACCTCCAGGTTCCTGCCCACACAGCAGGGCACCAATTTCCTCCCGGGCTGTGGTCAGAACAAATGTGAGGAACCATACAGGGCACTTCCGAACTGGTGGTGCTTGTCCAGATGTGGCTCCTGTGCTAAGGATGACGGTGAATTCTAGGATATCTACTGAGTAGTGAGCTGTTCTGAGAATGGTGAATGCTAAGATGGGATCAGAAATGGACATAAGGAACGCCGTGGGGCAGGGTAGTTTATTATGAGGCGCATTTGGTAAGATATGGCGAGAAAACCCACAAGGGCTTATGGCAAAAATCCTTCCAAAAATTCAGTACAACTTGAACCTCTCCAAAACAATATAAGATTAATCTGTTGGCATCAGGTTTAACTTCCTAGCAAACTTCTGATCACAGGTCTGCCCATCACTAAGGTGACCTATTTCCCCCTTCAAAGTGGTTGCCTGGCTCACTTCATCTAGTAGTGAAGTCCCCATCCATGTCTTTATCACCTCCGTGCTTGATTTTCTGATGCACTTCCATTCAGCCTCCCATGTTCTGCCCATCAAAAACTTGAGGTCATCCAAATCTTTGCTGTCCATGATCTAAACTCAGCCATCAATCCTGTTGTTTTTCGCTAAGCAAAGCCTCAATTTAAAATTCTGATCCTTGTTTTCAAGTATCACCTCTCTCTACGCCTGGAATCTCCTTCAGCCCCACAGCCTTCTGAGATATCTGCAGTTGTCTCATTCTCATATGTTAAGCATCCTGGTCTTCAGCACTTCAACATTGGTGGCCATGTCTTCAGATCCTACATCCTAAGCTCAGGGAAAGTTCTTTGTCTCTCTATCTTCCCTTTTCTCCTTTAAGACACTGCTTAAACTTACTTCTTTGACAAAAACTTGGGTGACCTGACTGAACATCTTCAAATTTTACTTTATAACACTCCTGTGACTCGCCTTGGAATTATTCAGTACAAAGTGCTACATGAAAACAAGTTGTGGTTTTGTTGAGAAATTAATCCCAGTTTATGGTTCCATCACTTCAGAGTTTTCAAGAGTAGGAAACATCTGCTGAGTCAGCTGTGCTGCCTCCAATTTATAAACTTTATTTTTGAACGTGTGTCAATTCTGTCAAGCCCATATTTATTTCCAGTTCACAGCTTCTCTGACAATTAATAATGCACCTTCTTTTAAACTGCTTTAGTGCTCATGATGATGCTGCCTAAACAATGGTGTTAAACAAGGAATGCTATGACTTTTACTCAGTGACGATGAAGGAATGGCAATGTGGAGTAAAATTCTGAGGATGGGTCATCGGACCCGAAACGTTAACTCTGTTTTTTCCCTTCACAGATGCTGCCAGACCTGCTGAGCTTCTCCAGCAACTTTATTTTTGTTGTTGTTGTGGGGTAAAATTAGTCTTGGGTCGTAATCTATATAAAAGGAAATTTGATGGAGTGTGAAATGGGTTGTCAATTCACTGCAGTACATTTTGTATCCAATACAAGAGGAGTTTCATCTCCTCTGTGTCCAAATTGGGATGTTATATGACTTGAATTTGGTGATGTTCCCATTATCTTACTGCTGTAGTTTTGGTGATTGAGGTTGCAGAGCTGGAAGTTGTACTCCTAATAAGCTTGGCAAGTTGCTTCAGTACATCTTAAAGACTCATCTGCATGAAATCCACAATGTGCTGAAAAGGAGGTGGACATTGACACCAGTGGCATTTGTGCTGAACAGGTGAACTGGTCAGGTCTGAGTGGTGTACAGCCATTGCTGCGGCCATACGCATCCAAGTCAATGTGTGGGTTCAGTAATACGCCTGAATTGAGCCTTGCAGATGTGGGTGAAATGTACACCTCTGGAGCATGCTGAGGTGAACATTAGTCTTTAAGAATATTTTTATCTGCACTTTGATTGAAAATATTTTGACTTATCAATGATTCCCTCAACAGAAACAAGGTCCAATTAATCTTTTGTTGCACCATCTGGTTCGAGACATGAAACAGGTAAAAATGACTGACAGCATAAGCAGTGTAATTAAGTGTATTTATGAGAGAGAACACCATCACCAAGAAAGGCAGCCAGATCAACTGCCAGTCAGGCAGTGAAATGATCACCTGGTGGGCTTTCCAGTCAGTCACTTCTTGGGACAGTGATGCTACATCCTGCCTGAAGCTGTCAGCTTATCAGATACCAGTAGCCTTTGTGAGCAGCAGTTCTGTTTCAGAGGGTGAGGTTGTTGGCTGCATGGCAGACCAGAGGAATGGGAAAATAAGTTACATTTTGGCGAGTAGGAATTTACAAAGTGGAGTCACACAAAGAGGGGGCAACCCAGTGTATTGGAGGTAAGGGTAGGGTGTTGGCTATCAGCTTCCACCCCCTGCCCCACTAACTGTGCTCCCAATTGCCCCTAGATCGGGGAAGATCGAGGCCCCTCCACCTCAGCAGGCAGCCCACCCCACTTTACCAGCTGGGAAAGCTGCTACATTTAATGCCTGCTGAGAGAACAATGATTTGAGCTGGTGATGGGATGATGCCCATAAGCGGTTGTTAATTGACTGCTAAAGGCCTTAATTGGGGACAAGTCAAGAAGGTTGAGCATGGGTCTTCTTACTCAGAACTTAATTTCTGAGGTTGCAGGAAAGGGATGATCATTTGCCCATCTCAGTACCTTCTCTGCTGCTTCTTGAGAGGGGAAGATTCCATGGTTACCCTGTAAACCATTGCTGGACTGGTTTTCTATTCTATAGAAACCGATGAATCAGGTATGGATGGCATTCTTACAATGTCGTTAAGACACATGACTATTTAATCCCTATTGGCAAGTCCAGTTCTTAACAGTTAGTATTTTCCTCCAATAATTTCGTTCCTTCCTCCTTTATTGGGACACAACTAGTTCCATGTAATTATAGCAGCTGAGCAACAGAAATAGGTTACTCAGCTTCTTGGCCCTGATATTCTGTTATTCAGTTAGATTATGGCTGATGTGTACCTTAACTCCACTCACCTGTATTGATTTCATAAACCTTCAAACCTTTCCGAAATAACATTGTCTCAATCCTTGTGTTGCAATTGTCAATTCGACTATCCTCAACAACATGTGGGGAAAGAGTTTCTGAATTCCATAATGCTTTCTTTGAAGAAATGCTGTCAGATATTACACCTGAATGGCCTAGCTCTGAACCAATTTTCTCTCCAGAATTTCCCATGTGAGGACAGTTTCTGTCCATCTAAATTAGGAACCTCAGTCAGTGGATAGTGTATGGAGCTGATTTCAAACTGCCAAAATTATGTTTTTTGCAACTCTTTTCAGTTGAAAGCTTTTGCAATCTGTTTTATTTGTCTAGCTTATTTACATTCTCATCTTTTTTTTTAATCTCTTCATCAATTTGCTGATCCTTTGCTGGTTTTTAAAATTTTCTTGATCATCTCTCTTTTTACTTTTTGGGGACACAATAAACTTTTTTAAAAAAATCTAAAACCATCTTTAACTTCACTTTTTATCCATGGTTATAGTACTTTGCCAGTAGTTTTTTTTTAGTCCCTGTAGAAATGTAAAGGCTTTATCAATCAAGGAATGAATCTTCAAATGCTTGCTATTACGATGACATAATGGTAGTGTCACTGGACGTGTGATTTATAGGCTCAGGCTGAGGTTCTGAGCAGATGTCTTCAATGCCAAAAAGGAGACTGATTTTAAAGTCTATGAATAAATCTGGAATTATAAAGCTAGCTTTAGTAATGGTGACAAGGATAACTATGCTGATTCTTGTTAAAAAAACATCTAGTTCAGTAATGTCCCTTGGGGAAGGAAATCTAACATCTAACAATCTAACGCATGTTAGATTAGATCCACAGCAACTACATTGACTCTTAACTGCTCTCTGAAATGGCCTGGCAAGTAACTTAATTCAAGAGCATTCAGGAATGGGCAACAAGTGCTGGCCTTGCCAATGATACCTACACCTAATGAAAAGAACTCCTGATCTAGTTTATCGAACTACTATAACTAACTTTTCCTATACATTCATAAATTGCTACAAGGTTTAGGACTCCAGCTTCAAACTTAACTGAGTCAATCTCCTATCCAATATAAAATGCTCACTCTTCCACACAAGCTCATTTCTGCAAGGTTATTTGTAATTCTGTGTCATTGCACAATTATAGATCCAAAATAATTCCTAACTAGCGTTATAGCACAGAGCTTGAATATTGCTGATAGGAGAGACATGTTGTTGAAGATTTTGGTCTTGTACCGAAAAGGACAAAATGCAAAAAATATCAAAATTCAAATTGTCACAACAATTATACTGGAGGAGAAAAGAATGCTGATTGGTTGACAGGTCAACTCTGGTTGGCCAAGGAATTGCCATGGGGAACTGTAGGCTCACTGTGCTTTCACATAAATTATGTATGGGGCTTGAACATATTCTTTGCTTCAGTAATTATTAAAAAAGTTAAACTAGAAATTAAATGAAAGTAAGTTCCATCAGTAGGAAATGAAAAGATTGGGGAGAATTGTACGGCACAAATAAAATTGTATATATTATATTGAGAATTCTGATGCAAGCTTCTGTTCCTAGAGTAACCTTCCTCCTGGTTACAAAGTTACTTTGATTGACATTGGATTGGTGATGGAATACCTGGTAGGAGGTGCTTACAGAAGCCTCTATACACGGAAATCCTTCAGACTTCTGTATAATAGCCTCTACAGACAGCACAAGGTAAGGACCAGTTAGATACTCTCATGTCTTGTGGGGATAGTCTCATTACGTTTGGTAATGTCACATTAGATTATTAAATACTGTAAGGCTAATGCTATCCTAGACATTGGCCCAGATATTCTGATAGTCAGGGAGTCAGAGTAGCAGTAGTTGCACATCAGGACCATGTAAAATCCCCATGAAGCCAACTCTGTGGGAACTGTGTCAAAAATTAACATTTCCAGTGGGCAGTTCCACTGTATCTGGAACAGTCTGAAAAGAATTCTTATTGCTGGAAGTTTTGAAGAGTGCTGACTCGCATAACCTTTATAGTTAACCTGGAAATGTTAGAGGATTAAAATACTCCTCTAGCTCCTGAGTAACTATTAAACTGAAGCCCCGACTCACCACTGACACCTCAATTATGCCACCCTGACATTACCTGACCCCAGATCCCCCTGCAATCTGTCTCCGCCTCTAATCTGAATGGATCTGACTTTGCCTGCCCCCATATCTGCCGTCCAGACCTGACACACACATGCCACAGGCCTGAGCCTTCCCAGATGGCTTCATCCATCTTCCAGCTGGATGCGACATCACTCTACCACCCCGACTTGATCCGATACCCAGGCCTCTGCCACAGCCCCCTGAGACCTTACCCAGACTGACCCTGGTCAGACCCGACCCCATTTGGATCCGAGACGACAACGTCCCTGGTGTGAACCCATTCCATTCTGGTCCTGCCCTGGGCCAAACCCTCCATATGCAGTCTGACTCACCCATGCTCCAGCTCCCTCCCAGACATAACCCTGATGGAGACCTGACCTGGTACAACCTGCCCTCCTTTCCCTGACCTGACCCCACCCTGGCTCTGGCCAAACCTAAGCACTCATTCACTCACCTGGCATGCTGCTACCCTACTCACCTGGCACACTGCTACTCTACTCACCTGGCACTCTACCTCCCTCAGAACCTTACCAAACTGGTACACTAAATCTTCAGCTATGAGGCACCCTATCACGTAGCACCCTTAACCCTCACTGTGACCTAATCCCACACTTACATTAAAGCACCAACAGTTTCAAATGACCCGTCAAAGCGGCTGGCTGTGCTACTGAACATTTAAACCACAGAACGCTGATTGTTGCTAAGAGGGACGTGGTTTCTACGAAGATTTTCTTCCACACCCCTGTCCGTGAGTCTCCAATGTAGGAGTCACCTAAAGATAACTGGGTAATTATCAATCTGATTAGCATCAGAAGTAAGATTTCTGACCCTGATCAGAATATTTGGGTCCCATTTTTCGGATAACCGTGGGTCTCAGTTCTGGTATAGATTACATCAGAGTGGGTTAGTGTGGACTTGTTGGGCCGAAGGGCCTGTTTCCACACTCTAGGGATTCTATGCTTCTAGAAGCTAATTAGATTACGGTTATTCCTGCAACTGTAATTTATTGACATTTGAAGCAACTCTTTCCTCCCTTTTTTTTTGAGAGGCTGGATGTTTTTAGTGCAGATGATTTTGACATGCAGTCAAGTATCTAAAGTTTGGTGAAACACTTAGTGCCTTTGCCTCTGGGTCAATAGGTTATGAAGATGAGACATGCAACCAGGATTGAATGTTTAAAGTCTGTTGACAAGTGGATTGTCAGCTATGACAAAGCTTCTGATGGATGTTAAACTGACCTACCTGTTTCAAAAGATGCACATGAATTGGTGTTGATACTCAAATTAGAACAGATCTTTTGATGTTCTGGCAAATACTTCTCCCTCACTCTGTGCAAGAAGCAAAAACTGATTGACTTGTCATTCATCCAATGCCATTTACAGGACATTGTTGGTTTAGAATGTGCTGTGTTTCCCTATACAACTGTCACTATAATTAAAAACTGACTCATTGCTTGAAGCGCATTGAGTCATTTCAACCAATAAGTCAGAATCGTAGAATCCATACAGTGCGGCAAGAGGCTGTTCGGCCCATTGAATCTGCACTGACTGCCTGAAGAGCATCCCATTCAAGCACAGCCCCCTACCCTATCCCTGTAACCCTGCACTTACCATGGCCAATCCACCTAACCTGCACACCTTTGGACTGTGGGAGGAAACTGGAGCACCCAGCAGAAACCCATGCAGTCATGGGGAGAAAATGCAAAATCCTCACAGACAGTCACCCAAGGTTGGCATTGAACCCGGGTCCCTGGCGCTGTGAGGCAGCAGTGCTAACCACTAAGTCACCGTGCCGCCTGTGTGGCAAGTTATGAAGCAAATTTATTATTAATAAGTCATATTTGAGTATTATTGCCACAATATTTTGTTGGTTAGCATGGTAGAAAATCATTCATATTATTAATTGCTCATTAGGAAATGTATATGTCAACCAGCAGATATTTCTTCCAGTTTAAAGTGCAAATTTCCCTATTCTCCCTCACTGAGACTGGCAGCTTGAATCAGCCCATTAACATCTCTTAATTTACTCTAGTTTTGTGTAGCAGTTTTGCATTAGAAGCTGTAAAATAGATATAAAGGTCTGATTATATGCACTTTATCACTCAGTGCCAAGAAAGGATATTCAATTGGCTTTTCCAGTGTTAGTTAGAGATTTCTTCCATTCATGTGCAGTATCTACACACACACACATACGTGCACACACCATACACATGTGCACACACCACACATGTGCACACAGGCACACCTCACCTGCACACACACGTATACACACTCTCACTTCACGTGCACACACACTCACACCACATCTCTCACACACATGCTCACACGCACACACAGACACGCACACACACACACCATACGCACACACATGCATACACATACACACAAACACACACTCTTACAAAATCTATGGGTACACTGTACTGTACAAAGAACAGTGTTAGCAACTCACAGTCAGGAAGGTAGGATTTTAATATTGTCCTTTCATATTGCAGATAAATGTATAATAGATAAAATGAATTGATTCTCAAACACATGACCAGTATAATTGTACATATATCATTTATACATGGAGCTAAAGAAGAAATATCTTTTCCGCAGCGAGTTAGACGTCATGCCGTCACCAGTTTCACTCAAAGCTGGAGCAACCATTCCCTGAATCAGAACCGAGAACCAGCTGCCAGAGTGCAAAGTGATGAGCAGAGGCTTCACTCTCAGTTTATTAGAACAGCTCAGCCATACAAACGCAAGGTAAACCCTTCCTTTACATTTCCTCATTATCAGTGTTAACTTTTACATTTCCTTTGCAGTATGACTTGAAGTAAGATGATAACAAATAGACAAATCAAACTAAATTTTCCCCAATCCTTAACATACAATATGTTAATCAAGTCTGTCAAATTCAGATGATTGAGAACATGTAACCTATTTATTTCCTTATATTGTTAAACTTCTATGAAACATATAATGGAATGGAAACAATGTTGCCAAAATAAGTAAAACTTCACCTCAAATGGCTTCACAATGAAAAAAGATTTTTAAACGAAATTGAAATTGTGTTTTAGTTGCATACATTGTAATACATACTGGCGCTATAAATTGTAGAGATGATCATTATCAGTTGGGCCCATTGCAGAAAGTTTGGTACAAATGCCACTTAGCTAATAATACTGCAATTTTGTTAAGTTCAATTTCAGCCCATGTATCTCAATTCAGTGTTATTACATTCCATCACTGGGTGTTATTGATTTTTTTGTTAAATAAAATGAACAAAGTTTGAGAAGCCAAAGAAGAGAGTACTTTCCTCCATTTTGATTTTCTGAACTTATGCAAAATTGTGCCCTTGGATTTATGTTGACTAAACATGGAAGGTATGAATGCAACTTTAAGACAGTAAGAAGGGCAGGTGTTGGAAGCTAGATGTGGAGCTGGAAAAGCACAGCAGGTCAGACAGCACCCAAAGAGCAGGAAAGTCAACATTTCGGGCCAAAATATTGACTTTCCTGCTCCTTGGATGCTGTCTGACTGGCTGTGCTTTTCCAGCTCCACATTTATTGACTGAATACAACATTAATTTGATAATTGCATATCTGAGTGCCTGGGAAAGAACTGGGAGGATGTAGTTGAGAAACATTGAAGGAAGTTCAAAATTTAGTCACAAAGTCAGATATCAGATTCTGATGCAAGTTAAGACCATATTTGTAGGGATATCCTTTTATATTTTAGAAGGTTTCCTATACTCATATACAATTTCTGTGCTCTTCCCCAGTGTTGAGGATATGTCGAAGGAGAGTCAGTGGACCTGAAATGGTAACTCTGATTTCTCTCCATAGATACTGCCAAATTTGCTGAGTTTTTCCAGCAATTTCTGATTATGTTTCTGATTTCCAGCATCTGCAGTTCTTTTGGTTTTTTTGACAAAAGGAAACAATTGATTTGTAAACAAAAACTGGAACAGTTTCTCTCCTCTCCCCGTGCCTTATCATCTTTCAAGAGAAGTGCCCAGAGATAAAGCAACTTGGGAAAGTAATCATTCACAGAGAACTGAAAGTTATCCAAATCTTACTACCAATGAGAAACTAAGTCAACAGCTAAACAGCTGTGGACTCGAGCTTCATTCTTGCAACTAAAAGAATTAAGAACTATTAAACTGCATTTACTTTTGTCTTCCTTTTTGTACAAGACCCCTCCCCTCTTATTTTAAACTTATGTTTATGTGTGTTTGATGTCACATTCTTACTCCTTTTTTAAGGTTGTAAGTTGTAAAAATTCTTTCTTTCACTCAAGTAAACCTTGATAATTGCTTAATTTATAGTAAGCTAAGTTTTAATTGAGGTGTGATTGCTGCATGCTAAAGAAATTGTGACAGATGGAGAAATGGTGGGAGATAGCTGATTCCCCGCTCCTTTGATTAAATTACATTCCATCCTATCCTTAGATGATTGGTAAGATCCAGTGCTTAGTCTGCAATGATGTTGCTACTTTCCAACCACTTTAAATTGTGACATTTTTCACAGGAAAAGCCAACTTCAAGCAGTAAGTCAAAAAGGAACCAGAAAAACGGTTTGAATTATACAGTGGAGCACGATTCTGCAGGTTTTATCTATCCCTACAATGACCTGTTGGTGTGGGCTGTGTTGATGAAACGTCAGAGGATGGCCATGTTCTTCTGGCAGCATGGAGAAGAAGCCATGGCTAAGGCAGTCGTGGCCTGCAAACTGTACAGGGCAATGGCTCATGAGGCAAAGCAGAGCAACATGATGGATGACATTTCGGAGCAGCTAAAACAGTATTCCACGTAGGATTGACCATTATTCACTTTTCTCTTAAATAACAGCAATGTGTTGAAATGGCTAAGAATGAAACTTGACTCGATTGCAAATCAAGTTGTAATATTCCATATGCTGTCTGAAAACGGTCTACCATAAAATCATAAGAAATAGTGGCGGGAGTGGGCCAGTTAGCATTTGATTAGGTCATGAAAGATGAGATTGTGGCCTTAACTCTACTTTCCTGCTTGCTGCGCTCCCCCCTCCCCCCCCCCCCCATTGACCCCCAACCCCTTGATTCCTTGTAAAACAGCTTTGTGTAGTCAATAAATCAACCTACACTGCTCTCTGTGAAAGAGAATTTCAAAGACTAATGATCCTCTGAGAGAAGAAATTTCTTCTCATCTCAATCTTAAATGAATGTGCCTTATTCTAAAACAATACCTGCTCGTTCTAGATTCCCCCATAATCTGGAACATCATCTCAGAATCTACAAGCCCCTTCAGAACCTTATATGTTTCAATAAGGTTGCTTCTTAATCTTCTAAATTTGATTGAATGCAAGCCCAAACTCCACTCTTTTCCTCATATGACAACACCTTCATCTCAGGAATCAATCTAGTCAACCTTTACTTCATAGATAGAATCCCTACAGTGTGGAAACAGGCCCTTCGGCCCAACAAGTCCACACTGAACCTCAGAGCATCCCACCCAGACCCATCCCCCTATAACCCACCTAATATACACCTCCCTGAACACTACGGCCAATTTAGCCTGGCCAATCCACTGAGCCTGCACACCTTTGGACTGCTTCTGTCACTGATCTGCTTCCAATGAAAATATAGCCCTCCTTAGGGAGGAGAGCAAAGTTTCACACACTATTCAATGATTATTGGATTTTCTTCCATGCTAACTTTCTGTCATTCATGTACAAGATACGTGAATCTCCCTGTATTAAAACGTTCTGCACTCTCTCCATTTAAATAGTCAGTTTCTCTATTCTTCACACAATGTATCTATATCCTTTTCTTTAGGATATATGCCACACTGGGCCTGTTCACTGGCTGGGGAGTTGGTAGCAACACCCCTGCAAGCATTCCACACTCCCAACCTGATTTATTGTAGTACCAACTCACCTGACACATTATAATATGCCATCTTAAATGTATATCTGTTGTGCATGGCATATAACTTAATGAATATTAAGGTCTAAGCGTAGTGTACTTCTTGGCTTATTTGTAGCCTCTCTTCTCATTCCAAGAAATAAAAGGGAAAATGATTGAATGGTTTAAGGCTTTTTTCATGTATATTAACATGTATTTACTTTGGTATTTCGAACTATTGAATATGGTAAACCTTCAGATTAAGACCATAAGAGATAGGAACAGAAGTTGGCTGTTTGGCCTCTCGAGCCTGCTCCACCATTCAATAGGATCATGGCTGATCCAATACTCCCCACATCCACTTTCCTGCATTTTCCCCATGACTTTTGATACCCCTACTGATCAAGAATCTATCTATCTCAGTCTCATCTCTGTGTGGCAAGGAGTTTCAAAGACTCTCAATCCTTTGAGAGAAGAAATCCCTGCTCATCCCAGACTTCTTAAATTGACACCCCTTTATTCTGAGCCTAGGCCCCTTGGTCCTAAACTCTCACTTGAGGGGAAACATTCTCTCAGAATTTAGCCTGTCAGCCCCTATTAGCTACTGGACAGGATTTTGAAGTACCTTAGAAAAGTAGGTACTTAAATGCTTGGTGACATAGTCCTGTTTACCTGGCAGGTTGCATGAAAATTTAATCCATGTCTGCCACTGGTTGAACACCGGCCTTAGCAATGATGAGACCATTAAATAGCCGCTTGAATCCTTTAAAGGATAATGCACTTCTGGGGAAGAATCAAATTCTACTCTTTGTATTGACCTCACAACCTGCTTTCCTACTGATCTTACTTATCACCTGATTTGGCTACAATATAAGCTGGTCCTCAACCAAGTTGTTAACATAGATCAGAACTATGTAAGGTCCCAGCGCTGATTTCTTTTGTATTCCATGCATCAGATGCATATCTGCATCCTCACAAGAAATAATTTTCCTCTGCTTTGAACATTCACTGTTAAGCGGCTTTCAAATTAAGCAATATATTATTAAATAAGAGCACATGAAATCGAAGATGCAAGAGGCCATTTGGCCCTTTGAGCCTTGCTTGTCAACAACAAGATCACAGTTGATTGTTTTTACCTCAACCCTATTTTCCTTCACTGTCTCAAAATGCATTATTATCCTTAGCTCCTCAAAATCTGTTTGTGTTTGTCTTACTCTGTGCTCAGTTTTGAGCATCCATTGCTCTGTGGAGTTGAGATTCCAATGATTCATAATTTCCACCTAGATTTTCACTCTGATGCATTGGTCTGAGAGGATATTAGATCCCCACTCTAGCAAGGCAGGATGGCTGTCTCCTTGTCAAATTGCTAGTTGAAATGTTTAAATAATAAAATCCATGTCTTGCCTATAGCAGTACAGCTTTCAAATCGAGTATGAATCTCTAAGATGGAGCCTGTTGTCTTTAGGTTTCAGAGATCTATGTGTGTCTGACTCAGGAGCAGGGAGAGAAACAACAGGTCCTGTTGATGTTCTTGGCCTGGGCTCTCAGAGTCTGTGACAAGCACAGTAGCCCTACCCCTGACCTGAGCACAATGCTCGCTCCCCCGCCACAGAACCCCAGGCTCCAGTAATTGGACCCTGATGTAACCCCACCGATCTGGACCCTGGTATGACATGGCCATCTGCAGTGATGGTATGTTTAGAATCAAATGCCAAAATAGACAAACTTAGTTGATTTGTATTCACTTCACATCAGCAAGATGTGAAATGACCTGCTCCCGTTCCTATTGTGATTCAGCTCTGCGTACTGTTTTTCTGAACTTTGTGTCTCAGTTCATAGGCAGAAGTATTGTCCCTCAAGTTTTTTTAAAATCAAAATATGTGCAGGAAATGTGCCTAAAAAGCATATAAAACTCATGTTGAATGCTCACCACACCTCTCCATCCCTACCCACCATGTATTTGTATTGTAACCTTTAGTAAGTTAGCATGGTAACGTATATCGTGAGACAATAGATCTTCAACAGCAGTGTGAAGGAAATGTCCACAGGCAATCTCTCATTTTACTATTGGGTTGACTCACCATACACTATTATTTCCGCTTATATTCACAGCAATATTGCTACCACTGTGTTTAAAACTTTATGACTGTAAAATGGTTTGTTGTTGATTGTTATAGACAGAAGTATTTTGTTTTTAAAACAAGATTACTTCTTTCCTTCTTCCATGCACAATTGACCTCATATCCCAGGGAATTTGGACAGCTTGCTGTGGATCTTTTAGACCAAGCGTTCAAACAGAATGAGCGAATGGCAATGAAACTGCTGACATATGAGCTGAAGAACTGGAGCAACTCCACATGTTTGAAACTGGCAGTGTCATCTGGCCTTCGGCCCTTTGTCTCCCACACATGCACTCAGATGCTCTTGACTGATATCTGGATGGGACGGCTGAATATGAGGAAGAACTCATGGTTTAAGGTAAAGGGACAGCAGTGGGGCAGGGAATATCTGTTTCTCCTGAATTGCTGTTTCATCTATAACAGTTTCAGGATCCAGTCTTGTAATGGCTTTTCGTCTCCTAGATTGACAATGTCCATCTTGTTAGAATTTGTTGATTCTAATCCTCAAATTTCTAAGCCTCCAGTGATTCCATTTAAAAAAAACTTCTTTCAAGGGATGTGGAGGTCACTGGCTGGGCCAGCATTTATTACACGTCCCTAATAATCCTTGAGAAGATAGTTGTGAGCTGCCTTCTTGAATTGCTGTTGTCTTTGCAGTGTAGGTGCACTTATGGTGTTTTAGGAAGAAGTTTCCAGGATTTTGATCCAACAACATGCAGGGAATGGTATTTTAGTTCCAAGTCAGGAAAGTATATGTTTGGTGAAGACCTTGTAGGTGGTGCTATTGCCCAGCTCTTTCTAGGTGACAGAGTTTGAGAGTTTGGAAGGTGATGTCAAAGAAGTCTAGGTGTGTTGCCGCAGTGCATCTTGTATAAACTCTGCACTAGGCATCAATGCTTGAGTGAGTAAATTTTTAAACTGGTGAATTGGGTGCCAGTTAAGCTCCTCTGTTGAGTCCTGTTGTTACAGCAGCTGAAGATGGCTGAGCCAAGGACACAACCCTGCAGAAGACCTGCAGAAATGTACTTGGGCTAAGATGGTTCACCTTGCAACAACTTATAATCATCTTCGTTTGTGCTAGGTATGACTTCGAACATTGGAGACTTTTCCCCGACTCCTATTGACTTGAGTTTTGCACGGACTATTTGATTTCACACTCGGTCAAATGCTGCTTTGATGTCAGGAGCAGTCACTCTCACCTCATCTCTGGAGGTCGGCGCTTTTGCCAGTGTTTGGACAAAGGGTGTAATGAGGTCTGAAACTGAGTGGCACTGGCAGTACAGAAACTGATATTGATGAACAGGTTATGGTTGCAGATTAGACAGAACAATTAGAACAGATCTCCTCATTTAACTGGTATCTTGTCAGCCTGTTGTTTTCAGAACAATGTGTCTGAACTTAGTATGAAAAGAATTAGTTATTTTATTTTATAAACGTTTGATCCTATCCTGTATTTCATGAATTGTGAAACATTTCACCAACAGCGTCCTCTACATTATTGCTAATTTTATTGTCTTAAATACCTTTGGATGTGTTCCATATGGTTTATAAATATTTAAGAGTGAATTTTAATGATCATGTTGAGATAATTTTTAAGTTCTTTGTGAACCTGTTTCTCCACTATGGTTCCAACTCATAAGAAGGTCAATTCTCCCAATGGCTATGTTGAAAACTGCAATAAACAACGTGCGTGCTGCCTTATTATTTCTCTCACTCTGCTGCTTCATGGCTGAAGTGCCCATTTGTTCTTTAAACATTGCCTATGGTGAATTATGGAATCGTGTCCTCGCAAGAATCAGCAGCTGAAATGGAAAAAGTTTAACAAGAATGCCTGGGTACATAAAAATTCTTTAAGGCAGCTGATGAACTGATTGGAAATAGTCTGTAACACTTTCCAGTTTCTGGAACTTTCTGAATGACAAACAGATAACACTTATCCATCTTGTATATCCCAGACTACAAATCAGATTAATTGGAGATAAAGTCAATACAGAAGAAAATTAAATAAAGTGGACACATAAAATAATTCATTTTTCTTAGCAAATGTAATGCAAAATAATACAGTAACTTGAAGTACTGTTGATCTTGGAAATAACAGTGTTACCATCCAAGGTGCAAACTATATGCACCAATTTATGGTCCGCTGGCTAGTTCATCTACCGGCAAGGCTAAAACTCAATAAAAATGAAAAGAATCTAAAACAGAGTAGCAATTCTTCACTGCTTTGAAGTCTGAGCTGAAACAAAATCAAGATAGGTTCCTCTGCAGTCAATAAAACGGTCAGTCAAAGTATAGTCAAAAGCACAAAAATTGTCTGGCAAGTTTTGCTGCTATAATATTTAGCAGCTCTGATTAAATGATGGTTGCATTCCTTCACTTCTGATAAGCTGCATCCAACATCCATAATGGCCGACCTCAGTGATTCTTTTAAACTAATCATCTTGTCATGATACAATCTTGTCAGAAAACTGATGGAAGGACAATAACTTGAAATATATATACTATTTCCCTCTCCCCAGATACTGCCAGATCTGCTAAGTACTTCCAGAAATTTCTGTTTAATTTGCATCTGCAGTGTTTTGTTCTTGATGTGGTATCAGCTAGATATAATGTTTCGTTATAAAATCCTCTCCTGCAATATTTGTCTCTTTTTAATTATTTATCCTTCTGCCATATAGATTCTCAGAAGCTCTTGTTATAATTATTCTTTTAAAACCATGGGTACTACTAGTGCTGTCAATGGGTTTCTTTGTAGAAACCTCCTGTATCTCATGATCTCTAAATAGCAGAGTAGGTTTGAGGGCCAAATGGCCAACTCCTATTCCTAACTGATATGCATGTGCATATGTTTGTAGTTAACATTTATACCACACACTTGTCAAGTAATAAACCTCTCCCAATAAGAAAAAATCTAACTGTTACCTTTGACATTCAATAACGTCACCACTGAATCCCATTATCATTGACTGAAAACTGAACTGGACCACCCATATAAATTCTGTGGCTACAAGACCAGGTCTTTTGCCATAAGTAACTCGCCTTCTGATTCCTCAAAGTTTGTCCATCATCTACAAGGCACAAGTCGGGAGTGTGACTCTTCATTTGCCTGGATGAGTATGCCTCCAGTAATACTCTAAAAGCTTCACACCATCCAGAGCAATGCAAATAGCTTTATCTATCCCTCCCCCACCCACCCCTGGCCAACACCTTCAACCGGATATATAGTGACAGAAGTATGGACCATCTACAAGATACACTGCAACAATTCAACGAGGCTGATTAAGCAGCACCTTCCAAACCTGCAAACTCTACCACCAAGGACCACGGCAGCAGGTACATGGGAACACCAACACTGCAAGTTCCTGTCCAAGCCACTCACTATCCTGTCTTGCAAAAATATCGGTACTTTAGCTCTGTCACTGGGTCAAAATCCTAGAGCTTCCTTTCTTATGGCACTATGTGTGTTCTTACACCATCAATTCAAGAAGGCAGAACTTAATTTTGGTGGAGTCACAAAGGCATCAAGGCTTATGTACTTCATCAACCCACTGAATTAATTACCCTTTTCACCTCCTCCATTTCTGGAGAGAGAAGATTCCGCCCAATGTTTCAGATCAATGACCTTTTTTCAGCATCTTCCATTTTTATCGCACTGACTTTATGCGCCTTTGTACAATACTGATTGTGAAAACAGTGAAACAGAGGTTTAGAATACGATGGATTCGACAGTTAAAAGAGCAGAAATTTTTCTATGTTTAATTGATCTGAGAAAGTACATTAACAATTGGTTTTGCAGGTGCACTATTCAGATATTTTGTTGTAATTGTCTATTTTAATGTGGCTTCTTTTATCCATTAGGTCATTTTGAGCATTCTTCTTCCTCCCACCATTCTGATGCTGGAGTTTAAGAGCAAGGCTGAAATGTCCCACATACCTCAATCTCAGGAGTTTCATCAGTTTGCTCGACAATGCAGTGCACAAAACTCCAGTGCTGCTAAGGACGATCAATCTTCTGTAAGTGTAATGGTTTGCCTTAAAACACCTTGGAATGAAATATTTGCTACATTGTGTGGCTTTTACCCAGAATTTGCCAAACTAGCACAAAATATCAGGAACTTTACTGACAGATTGAATTTCCATGATTCTTTGCATTAATCTTTGAAACAAAATCACTCTAGAAACCGCATCTGTCGATAAAACTGGCATATTGAATTACACACCTTTGTGAGGTCCTCCTAATTATGTCCATTTGTAGGTCTTCAGAGAAGAATATAAAATTAATAAGAATTTTTATAAGATACTGGAAAAACTCAGCAATTAAGGTGGAATTTGGAGAAGCAAACAAATTTAATGTTTCAAGTTGCTGATCTTTTATTAGAATTGATGGGAAATAGAAATTTAAGAGATTTTAAGTCTGTGTACGAGAAGGAAGGGACAAAAAGGACAAAGAATATGAGTTGTGAAAGGTGAAGGCCAGTGGAGATTTAAGAAGAAAGAATTTCATTATGCAACAGCAAAAAAGTGTAGTGAAGAAACAAGGGTTGTGTTCAAATGGGGCGTTAATAAATTGAATTGTATGCTACAATTTACTTGTCATTCAGTTTTAATTTGTTTCTCTTGCCCCCGCTCCCCTTCCACCCAGTTTACAAATTCTTACTCTCCATTTCTATTCAGTTCTAATGAAATGTCATCTCCACAAATGTTGCCAAACCTAATGGGTTTTTTCCAGCATTTTTGTATTCTTATTTCAGGTTTGCAGCAGTTGCAGTATTTTGCTTTTCTCTTAAAACTAATGTTTTTCAGATGAGATTTTATCATGTATTTTTGAAAAATTTTTAAATTTATATTTTTAATTTATATAGAAATGGACTATGGTGCACCAATGCAATTAATAAATAATTTTGTATGGTGTTTTTAAATGTAATTTTCAACTAATTTTAGGCTATTCAAAAGGTGACAGACCAGATACTTCTGATTAAATTTTTTTTTTTGGAAAAATCTATTTTCAGTTGTACTAGTGAAACTGTGTCAGGCTACCATTCTTAAATATGTTAAGAGATAATTTAAGAAAAAAATTGTCTTAAAATATGTTGTAAAATGCTGCCTGTCTGTCTGGTTTATGAACGATCACAGGCTTGAATCCAAACTCATTACATACCACTTAGAAGATAACCCATTACCTTTTTACGTCTACTTATTTTCACTTTGGATTGCATTCCTCACTCATATATTTTAAATATCTATTCAATAGTCTGCAATAGTCATGTCAAGAGTGCTTTCTATTTCTCGAAGATGGAGTTTGATACAGAGACTGGCCCAGAAAAGTCTGCGAATGAAGTCATCAGTACAAGACAAAAAGGACTGCCTTGGACGAGAAAAGCTTATGAATTCTACAGTGCCCCGATTGTCAAGTTCTGGTTCCATACGGTTTGTCTAACTCCACAGCCACTAACCAATTAGAGTATCCCATCGTGCTGATTGATATGATAGTCTGAGCAAACATCAATGGCAAAACAATAACTCACCTGTGGTTGCCTGCTAATTCATTTCAGCTGTTAGTAGTCTTCAAGTTTACTGGAAGTGGTCCTATGAAGGTTTAATAAGCAATGTTACAAAGTTCTCAAGGAAACTTTGAATTTGTGGTTTTTCATTTACCAAACAAAATGTTAGGTCTTGGATTTCTGCACTTAAATAAATAAATTCATCATTTCTTCCCTAGCATCCCAAACACCAGTTTACCTGATAGTATACCACATTTAGAAAATGACTGTACACTACAAGCAAAGTCCATCCTAGCGATTCACAGGAGTTTAATCTGTATTTGTCGGACAAAGGTGTGTCCTTGTTGAGTCACTGACCATGAGAATTTGCCCTTCTGCTGTAATAACTATATGAATTGTGGTCAAAGCTTTGATTTGCTACATGTGAACTTTGGACCTTTGAAGAAAATGCTGTGTTCATGGTAACCAAAAACTTCAAGGTGCCTTGGGCTAGTTATCACTACGATTAACAGGGTCTTTATGGGAAAAGATGCTTGGCAGAAACGTTTGATGAGCTCAGCAGCATACAAGATAGAGGAATGAAGTGTGGTAAAATACAGCAAATAGCCTTTTTTTTGATCAGAAGATGGAATTATCAGAACAACTTATGACTCTTGCCTAATTTTTGTGCCCAGTTCTTGGCAAAAATCTTCTTACAATAATTAACATTCCATTTAACACTTGTTTTTCATTTTATTCTCCACAGATAGCTTATTTGGGATTCCTGATGCTATTCACTTACACAGTGTTAGTGAAAATGGAACCTCTGCCCAGTGTCCAAGAATGGATTGTCACTGTCTACATTTTCAGTACGGCTGTGGAGAAAGCCAGAGAGGTGAATAAGGACCAGAATATTTTCTTCCAGTTTCTGAGAAAAATCAAGTGACTGCTTTTAAATAGCATGAACTGAGTGTCTATTTAATTCCGCGAGTTTTAGTAATGTTCCCAGTGACCTTTCTCTAAGGGGAGGAAGTGGCCTTTGCAATTGTGCTGTGCAAGGACGTTTCTCCTCTGGTGCCTTTCTAAGATTCTGGAATTTTCAATTCATGACACCACTGAAATATTTGACTTTGCTAAACAATACAAAGAGTGTAAGAATGCCTTGAGGTCAGTGCACTGATGCCAGCTTCACTAAAGTCTTGTTGAGTCATATTCAGTGTTTTATGACCAGCCACACACACATATTTCCATGTATCAGGCCCATGTGACAACCAAATGCTGTAAAATTTTACACACATATGCAGCTTATCACTTTTATCTTATTTTCTGCCATTAAATTAGGAGTTGTTCACAATGTCTCCAGGGCTCATTTATGACCTGTTAATGCACCACACTACATTTGCTCACTGAACCTGCAAATGTTCTCCCAAGACTTGGAACACTGAAGTCTCCTTGTATTTGAAATGAAAGTAGTAATAAGCCTGTATCGCATTAATGACCCAATTATACTGCAGTATTGTGTTTTCATGATGCATTTTTCAAATTGCACTGAGACAGAAACCTCTTTGTAACCCCAGCCTCTGTGCCATGTGGCATTTCAGTTCTCCATTCCTCTCCTATTTAGAAGTCCAAGACTTTACCTTTGATTGCTCCAGTGAAGCTGAATATAAGCTCAAATAATAGTACATTATCTTTCTACTTGGCGTTTTGCAGTCCTCTAATCCCAACAACGACTCTGAACAACTTCAGACCTTAACTAAAATTCTTATTTTATCTCTGGCTATCAGTGCTGACATGTGAGATGCTAGTTTATAGGCATGTGGAATAGGACCATACGAGTACTTGGAATAGACTTTCCCTTTCAAAACACAACAGACAGAATTTTCATTCAAGTCAGGAACATAGAGTCAGGCCAAGTCTCATCTTCACAAATCCAACTCTGAAGATATATGCCTCAGTCAGTCTAATTCACATTCTGGAGTGGAGATTTCAGGCTATTAACAGAAGTGGCCTACCAATCCTGGAAATAGTGCAGATGCAGCCACATTAGTGACCTTAGTGCAGCGCCAGGCTGTTTAAAACTGGCCTGGTGCTATTGGACTTGTAAGGTAAAAAATAAACCAAGTGCCTTCCAGCCCTCAACTCAGCCTAACATACTCCCTATGCCGTATCCATGCAAACTCATGCCACCTTATGAACCCTATCTACTTACTCTTTTGGCCCCGCATATCCCATATGCCCAGCTGTGCCCTTCTAACTGCCCTAATGGCCCCATGTACACCCTATGTTAACATAGTCCTAATTTGTGCCCTCCTCCTACTCACCAATAAAGGGCAGCCCTCCCACTACCACTGGAGCACATAGAGAGGTCACCAGGTTTCATTTGATGGTCCCTCCACAGGTTACTCCCAAAACAGGCAAATGCTGTTGGAGGTGGGATATGTTCAATTTGGCTCTGGGCAGGTGGCTCACTTGGCAGTTTTACAGCTGCTGCCAAATGGCATGGGTGGCAGGAACACAAGACGCACCTCTCCGTGCCACTTTGCCATCCTTCCATCCTCCTGTTATGGACCAGACCAAACTCCCTCAAAATATATTAAGAAGATAGGCTAGACCCTAACTTTTTCTTATTTTAGAGGTCAGTGTAAGGCATTGTAATTTGATTGGCCAAACTACTCAACTTTAAGTAAAACACACTTCACTTTTACACTACATTTAAAATACAGACAAAACAAAAAGATAAGAATTGGCTTAACTGTTACAATTGAAACACTGAACAAAATAATATATATATATAAACTATTACCAATTAAATGTTCTAATATAGTAATGTCCCTTAAACACATCCTTGACAAAAGCAAATTCAGTAAAATAGATTGTCTCTGCGATTCTAGTAGCAGGAAGGAAACCCAGCTTTTAGCCGTAACAGAGAGAAGAATAAGAGTCTCCACATACGGCTTCAAGACTCCAGCAAGTGCTACAAGTTAAAACTAAAAGTCCTAGTTCTGCAGGAGGTTGACCCCAACCATTCAGGCTGCTTCCAAACCCCAAAGCCTCACAAACTGTTTACTTCATTGGCTATGAGCAGAGCGCAGCACCTCTGTCTCAACCTTTCTTCATTAAAAATAAACCAGGATAAAATACACCTCTTAAAGCCATAGTATCATCACACTCCCACCTGTCCCCAAAGCCTGGTAAATCTTTGGCCACAATCTCAGTGGTGAAATTTCCAACCTTTTCACAAGGTCACTCTGCAGTTTACTCTGAGGTTACTCCCTTTAAGTCATCTCAACTTTTGCACCTGAAAAGGATGTACAATTCATAAACTTCCATGATGACCGGTTGGTGCAGTACTATTTAATACCACTGAGAGCCAAAGAATCTTTTTGAGAAAAGAATCCTATCATGTTTAATTCTATCCTTTACTATCGCTATTGTTTAGCAAAGGTTTTGTGACCTAATGCTGTCTATACAATGATGTCTATAATTAATAATGTATTCTCATTCAAGGTAAAAGTCTATTAGCCTGGAGATCTACTTTAAATAAGATAACTTTCAGCCTGCCCTATGTAAGGTAAATTTGGTCATGTTTCAAAAAATGTTTGATATATAGCACAGACCTATGACTGTTGTTTTGTGATAACTGTGTAATTCCTTAAAGATCAATGAACAGCTTGAAAAGATTCTCTGTGAGAGTATAACAGCAGGAGAAAGCTACTAATGCCTGGATTTTCAAGAAGCAACTCTGGACCTTTTTTTAAAATGATGGTGGGATCTAATTCTAGGGGTCTTGTCTCCATTTCTGACACCTCTAATTTTTATTGTCAGGGTAAGAGTATGGCCAGTAAGCTACTGCCCTTCCCCTTCAAACTGAGTGGTTTCCATTGAGAGAACAGGTATCTATGAGCCTGACCACCTGCTTCCCCACCTTTCTCTCTCTCTCTCCCTCTCACACACACACACATAGACACACCTACACGCCTAGAAGCACACCTACACACACTCACATACACATGCACATACATACACACACCCTACCTACCTACCTTCTGGGTGACTCTTTGTTCACATGTTCTCAGAGGAGTCGTGACCATTGTGTGGATTCAGGAACCTTTTGAAAGTTAAGTTCAAATTATCCTACTTATGACCTCCATCCCGCTTCCACATTCCCATGTCCTCTCTATTCTAACTCAATGCTAACTCATGCCCTCATGACTGCCATAATCCCCATCTCCATCCTAACTCATGTTGCCCATCCAAAACTATGGACCCTCATACCCTCCATGCCAAATCATGGCTCTTTAATACCCATTCACCCAGTATAAACTATGCACAAACCAATGAGCCATATAGTAACAATACCATGTGTACAATTGCTTAGAAAAGAAACAAATGCTTACAAATCATTTTAAGGGAAACAAAAAATGCTGTTCATACAACCCCACAAAAGTATCAATCAGACAGACCATTTAAGTACCAATAATAGAGGCTTTGAATACAGCTCTCAATCCTGCACAAATAAATCTTGAGACACTGACAAAAGAATTACAAGAAGAATAAAGTACAATAACCAGCTGATTATGTCTCCAGTATTCTCTACAGTTGACAAAGCAGAGACTCATGCTGAGATAATTCTTCTGAGAGTTTGGGCTTCCAGTCAAACATGCCTTATGAGGCTGCGTGGAAGAAATCTTTCAGCAGAACCCAACAGCCTCATTGTGCCTCACTTGGTTCAGGTGGAGCCCACCCTGACATTGAAGCTCCCTCCTGTCCCAGCATTGGTGCATGAAAAATAATTCTTCTTTTCCACATTTCTTTCAGCAAGTGTTCACCTTCTTAGTCTGCATCCTGCTCCACTGATTTGCTTGTGGCTGATGAAAGAATCCAGAACGTAGAAGCCTTGATATTCTGATATTTAATTGACCTTCTTATTCCAGGAACCTTCCAAACAAGACTTTATGTATACTTTGTCCAATGTTGTTGCCTTCAGCATGGACCACAAAAACAATCTGCTCCCACCTTCTTTGGTACCCTTCCAAGCCAGTTTGAGATGTCCTTCAGCTGGTGCAACTTAGGCAACATATTCGTTTGGAATCTACTTCCTGCGGAGAAAGCATACTTTATGTCCTACTAATCACTGAATTCTATTCAAAGACGATATGGAAGCTGGACTCATTTTATCTTCACTTTGACTTTTGTCATACAGATCTTCATATCAGAGCCAGGAAAGTTCAGCCGGAAGATTAAAGTTTGGGTCCAAGAGTACTGGAACGTCAATGATTCTGTGGCTATAGTCTTGTTTGTTATCGGGTTTGGCTTACGTTGGACTGACCACCCATTACAGGCAGCTGGAAAGATAATCTATTCCCTGGACTTTATATTTTGGTTTGTGAGGCTTCTGGATTTCTTTACAGTTAATCAACATGTAGGGCCATACCTGACAATGATTGGCAGAATGGCAAGTATTTTAAAACTTTTTGGTATGTATTTTCCTGTAAACGTATGCTGCTTTCACTATTTAAGATGTTATTTTACGAATCATTATATTTAGACCTATTTCTAATGACTTATTCTCATAGTCATATTAAATCCCATTTATGGGTAACAGTCAGGGGATGGAAAGGGAACAGGCAGACAGTGCAGGGATCCCCTGTGGCC